CGGCATAGTCGAGGTCAGTCAACCGGCGTCCGGGTGCAAGCTCAATACCGTAGTTTTCTTGAAGGGCCCTCCCGAGAAACCAGTCAATGAAGTAATTAAAGAGGATGGGCGACAGGACACAGCCTTGTCGAACGCCAGACCGAATAGCGAAGGCTTCTGAGAGGTCGTTAGCATGAGTGTGACGACATATCAGCCAACTCCGACACATCCATCAGAGCTTTTAAGGAGGTAAGAAACGGCAAAGTTTGACCACAGATAATCGGACTCCTTAGAAATAGCAATGTTAATAATGGCAAATAGCATTGGCGACTAAGACAGGGAAGACTGGAATCGTCAATGTTGGTTTATTAGCCGTCGTGAGCCAGGCATACCAAGCCCCAAGTGGTACCGAATCCCGCCTCGAACTCGCGATCACCTTGATCAGAGTCTAACGCCCTAACCATTGAGTCACGAACTCGTTGTCTTGCCGGTTTAGGTCGGGAAATGTTGACACTCGTTGATGAACGTTCACCGACCGTTAACGAAACGCATTTGACCCGTTCTGTCTTGGCTCTCGACAGAGGCCTTGACAGCCGTGACAGCTGGTTAGAGCGTTCGACTCTGATCAAAAGATCATAAATTCGAGTCTCGGGTGGGGCACCACTTGGGTCTGGGTATGACTGGCTGACGACGGCTAATAAGCCAGAAATGACCATTCCAGTCTCTCCTGTCTTTGCCGGCAATGCTACCTGACTATTCTTCCAGTTGTTACGGCTGTCGGAGCCCCTGTAGAGGCCCAAAGCAGAGCGGGACAGATGAGTTCCATTAGCGTCATAGCATGCGCAGTGGGGGCAGTCACGATTATTCCAGAATGTCTGGGAGCAGGTCATACGCTAGGAATATTCTGGAAAGAGCGGAGCCGTATAAATATGTCGGAGTTGACAAGCTAAAGGACGACTCTGACGGACCGGCAGGACACACAGGACCGGAGAGTCACGCAAGCCCACCAGTCTTTGTGTGTGGTTGAATAAAGCCATTGCCTATCAGGACCGCCCCTTGCCTTCTTCTGCCTATTAGTCGGGTCCGAATAAACTGGGCTATAACAAAGTCAATTTACAAAAGCCATAAAAAGGCATGCATGGGACTATAAATACTTCAGGATTCACGACCTTTTATCCATCGGACTTGAGAAGCTGCTTATTTCCCTGCTAAAGGGACAAACTAACAAGCTCCACTTGGGGTTTCTGGAACTGCAGCGCATACATAATAGACAACTCTACAATAAAACAATTCATAAAAAGAAGAAGAAGAAGAAGAAGAAGAAGAAGAAGAAGAAGAAGATGCGATCACTGGCACAAGGATTTTATTTTCCTTACGTTTCGGATCCTGTCGAGAACCCTTGATCATAGGTAGCCGTAGGATGACGTGGGACATGCGCAGATTGGGGTGACACATGTACAGATTGCAAGCTATTTATAGTTCTTAGCGGTCATCCGCATGCGTACTATAATAATCAGCTCCTGTAACCATCGTTCGGGGTCTTAATTTGTGCGGTGATGGCTTTAAACTTCGCTTTCGACTTTTTATTGGCCGCAAAATCCTTGTCCGTGTCGGATGCAGGCATGATAATTGAACAACAATTATGTTCGCTGTCATCGGAGCTGTTGCTGGTCCCGGCTCTTCCCAA